GACAGAGAAGCCTGGTGTGCTGCAGTCCATGACATTGCAAACAGTCAGACATGACCAAGGGACTGAACAGCAGTATGTAAAAGATCTATATATAGGTATATCTACATCTGTAGATACCTACCAAGATTGAGGTGGTAATTCAGGTAGAAGCCTCACCTAATTTGAAGACGAGAAAACTTTCAGAAAGCTTGAACACCATATTATAATGAGCAAGACATGAAAATGACTGCTACAAAGGAAAACATCATTCTCATTTTTCCAATCTGAGCTTTGTCTACACTGGTTGACATGACAATTCTAAGAACCCCATGAAACACAATATTCAGTGGATGTTTGACTGCCCTGCTTACCCTGCAAAGTGACACCAGGAACAGCATCCCTTCCACCCTTCTCTTCTTCATGTGCTGGACAGGGCTCTAAAACAGGTGCATATGCCTCCTCAATCAATGCTTTAATTTGCACTTTTCCACACCTACACAGTTCTCATTAAATATGTTCATGGCACAGAGAAGTTTAATTCAAGCTCAGTGAACACAAGTGCAGAGCTGATAACTATACACATGAGAGCCCCCTTTCCTTCAGGCAGGGATAGTGCACACAAGCCCTACGCCGCCTCTCCACCTTCTTCTCACTTTGCCTCATGCTTACTCTGCGCCCAAGCCTGGCACATGCACACAAACTCACACATATAATTTATGTGTGAATCTTTAGGTGTCTAAAGATGTCCTTCTTTCATGTTTATCTTGGCACATTTCATCTTTAAAAGATATCAGTTCATCAGGGTAAATGCTGAAGAACCCTAGAAGAAAAAAAAGTGAACTTAAAGACTTTATATCTGTAAGAGTTGTGGTCTAACTTCTGAAATCAGTATCTTTTTTTTAATATCCAAATCGTAGAATTCACAGCCAAAATACATCTAGGGATCATAACAGAGGCATAAGAGCTATCTTGTCGATTCTATTCAGTTAATTCTTCTCTCCCTCTCCGTCTTACTGCAGGCAGTTTGTCCTTGGGTAGAACTATTTATAAACCTGTATGTTTTCCCTCTACCTAGACAGTCCTATATGCCTCAACTAGCTATCATATATTAGCTTTGTATTAATTTAACTTAAATTAAAATTCAGTTATTAGGTTACACTAATCACATGGCAAGTATTCAATAGCCACGTGGGCCTGTGAATTTGAAGCACATATAAAGAATACTGTCCAACATCACAGACAGACCGAAGCATGGAATGACACCAAGGACAGGGACTCAGAAACAAACTAATGCAGGAATGGGGAAGACTTTTAAGTCTGCATTTCCTTTGTTGCCATGATAAATTTAGTTCCCAACCATTCCTTCATTCTTTTCACCAATTATTTTACACAGACTGTGTCCCTGCTCAGTGGCTGACTCTTTGAGTCCCCATGGACTGTAGCCCGCCAGGCTCCTCTGCCCATGGATTATCCCAGTAAGAATGCTGGAGTGGGTTGCCATTTCTTCCTCCAGGGGATCTTCCCAACCCAGAGATCGAACTCACGTCTCCTGTGGCTCCTGCATTGGCAGACAAGATTCTTTACCACTGAGTCACCTGGGAAACCCTTTATATAGCTCACAGGATAGCAAATTTCTACAAAACATTCTCTTAAACACTAATACATAATTAGTATTCTGTATTATATACAAATACAGCACATATTCTTGTTCTGGTTTTGCCAAACTCTAAGGAACCATGTGGGAACTACTTGACTTTGAGGAACATTGGTCCCTGTTGACATTACTCAACGCTACCATCTTAAATGATGTGCCATCAAATGGGTGTGGCTATGTTCTCATAATATATAATTTATAAAACAGGCATGGGCTAGATTGCCCACAGACCACATTTTGCCAACTCTAGCTCTAATTGATAGATAAGCACTTATATGATAGGTAAACAATTCTATATAGATGCAAGATACACTGTGATAAATGCTACTGCATGTTCAGTATCTTTAGGAAACAGAGTTGAGAGATAAATTTTGTTTGAATGAACTGGAGAAGATTTCCCAGAGGAGGGAAGATACAAAATGGGTCTTGAAAGATGAACATGAGCCTGGTGAGTAAATATGAAGAGAAGGGGATTTCGGCAGGAGGAAACAACTTGCAGAAAGGCTTAACAGCACAGGACTTGCTGAATGAGTTGGCGGCAGATCACTGTAACTGGAGCTGACAGAGGCACTGGGACAGATACTAGTAGGAGGCCATCAGGCTGTCTAAGACTATTCCAGGATGCTCTTTCTTAGCATCAACAGGAAGCAGGATTTCTCTAAGTGGTCTATGGCTCAGCTGCATCATCTCTGTTGTTTATTAAAGTTTATAGTCATGGGCCCCAAGCCCCCAAAATGTCAATTTAGTGGATTTGTAGTGCCGCTTAGAAAGTTCTATTCTGAGCAAGCACTGCTGTGATTCCGAGACACATTTTTAACATGTGAGAACCACTAACATGTATGGTTAGATAAAATATCTTTAAATGCAATTCCTAAATCATTTAACACAGGCTGAACAATTTTAACATTTAAAATGGGCTGAACATTGAATACAAGCTGAAGAGTCTTAGAATTATTATTGAGCTTGTTTCCAGTCTTCATCCTCCCATCAAGTGAAAGTTAGTTTACTCTTCACTGCTTAAAGGAGTTTCAAGAAGTTTGTCCTCAAGCTAACTCATTTCAATTCACTGCATGAACCTGTGTTCACTATATCACTCCACTCCACAGATGAATTTTCATACTTTAGCTCTTCCCTTTTCCAGGTCTCAGTTTTCTGAACTGAAATATCTACCTAAAGAAACAAAAGACCTATACATAGAAAACTATAAAACACTGATGAAAGAAATCAAAGAGGACACAAACAGATGGAGAAATATACCGTGTTCATGGATTGGAAGAATCAATATTGTCAAAATGGCTATACTACCCAAAGCAATCTATAGATTCAATGCAATCCCTATCAAACTACCAACGGTATTTTTCACAGAACTAGAACAAATAATTTCACAATTTGTATGAAATAACTCCTTTAAATGACTCTCACTCATATCCATTACTCACATTTTCTTGATCAACTGATTTGTCCAATGGAGTCTTTCCATAAAACATTCTTGAGACATATTACTGGAGTTTATGTAATGCAGCAGAAATACACTATGCTTTTTATTAATTCACAAAATCATAAGAAAACTACAGGCAAATTTCATAGCTTCATTAAAGATAGCTAGTGATGTGAAGACCTCTCTAATCAATAAAAATCCATCAATCCTTTAAAAAAAGAACAGCTTCTTCCAGCCTTCTCTTGGTACCAGAGCTCTCTTGGACCCAGGTATCTTCCAAGTAGAATCACTTTTCCCTAAAAACATCACCTTGCTTATCTACATTAAAACTCGTTTTATCTTACTCACTCAGGAAAACTTTCTATAAAATAAATTTCATTTTAATAATTTTGAACATTTAAGACATTTATAGACCCGAATTTGTTATGATGGTGTAGCATTCTGAAATCTATCATTTTTAATGCAAAGGCTTTCATTTGAATTGGAGAAACTAACATCTGCAACTGGGGCTCTAAATTTGGAATTATAAAATATAGTGAATTATGTATAAATCTATTGCTATAAGGACCTTCTTAGGAGCTATGCATACTTAACATTTAAAACTGTTGATAAGCAAAATTAAGAACTTTCTTTAAAGATGGTCCTTTATTGAAAGGCTGTTCAGGCAAATTGAAGCATTTATAAATATGGTCTAAAACATAGTGGCACTTTTTAAAAAAGAAGGTCCTTTCAAACAAAACACTCATGGTCAGAACTTGAAAACTGCTGAATATCCCACATAGAGAGATAAGCACCTAAGTGAGAAGTGAAAAAAGCCTATCACCAGGTCTCTTCATGGAAATAAATAACATGAGAAAATTAATCCTATAATAAAGAAAAACATTTGAATCTTAAGTTTACAGGCTCAGAGAAAGTAAATGACTTCCAAAAGTCAGAGCTTATCTCTAGAAAACAGGAGGGTAAATTGTTTTGCTTAGATGCAGAGTCTTCACAAACATCCCAAACAGTTTAGCAGACTTCCCAGCAAGAGTTAAAAGTGGGGATGAGCTTGAAAAGGTTTAACAACTGGTTCTCCTGGGAAGTGAGGAAGTAGGAAGCTCAGATTTGCAGTGCCTACCAATTTCTGTGGTATAAATATTCCTAGCGGGTGATTTCAAGCCAGTATGAGGTCACTGAATGTGGAGTCAGGAAGAAATGCCAGCTCTGTGAGCTGGTATAGGATGGCTCCACTACACCTCTAGAAAAGAAACCAAGATGAAGCTGTGATACTAATTTTACCAAGTCCAAATGAGTATGGAAATTGCAGTCTGTATTATAAGACCAGTAAAACACAGGTACACAACTGTAGGGGATTTTTAATATCTCCAGGATTCTTTTATGAGCATGGACATACTAAGTCATTCAAGTAGTTGATCAAATAGGATAATAATATTTCAAATGTACTAAATTAGATTCTTACACATACAGTACTTTTGAATATATATATGTACACATACACACATATGTGTGTGTGTGAAAGTGAAAGTCGTTCAGTTGTGTCCAACTGTTCGTGACCCCATGGACTGTAGAGTCCATGGACTTCTCCAGGCCAGAATACTGGAGTGGGTTATCTTTCCCTTCTCTTCCCAACCCAGGGATCAAACCCAGGTCTCCTGCATTGCAGGCAGACTCCTTACCAGCTGAGCCACAAGGGAAGCCCAAGAATACAGGAGTGGGTAGCCTATCCCTTCTCCAGCAGATCTTCCTGACCCAGGAATCAAACCGGGGTCTCCTGCATTGCAGGTGGATTCTTTACCAACTGCGCTATCAGGGAAGCCCTATGTGTATATACACATGTATGAACTGTTTTTTTTTTTTTTTAGTTGCTAAGCCACACCCAACTCTTTGTGACCCCATGGACTGTAGCCCATTAGGGTCCTCTGTCCATGGGGTTTTCAGGGCAAGAATTCTGGAGTGGGTTACCATTTCCTTCTCCAGGTATGTTAATATATATTATATACTCAAACAAAATAAGCAATAAAAATTTACCCTACAGCTTAATGGAAGCAGAGGGTTAGATTAACTCCAGGTGTCCCCAAGGTATTTTTATAGAAGAATGGTGGTATGGTCACTGGAAAAAGCACAGATTTTAAAATCAGAAAGACGAATTGGAATGCCCTAATTATCAATCACGATTTGTGTAACCCTGAACTCATTTGACCTAGTTGTACCTATGAGTTCCTGTACTTAATCTAGATAATGCCAATTCTGATGGGATTATGTAGCAAAATGCTTGGCACTAAGAGCTCATAAAGGTTTAATGCCTAAACTGTCAACAAGCCCGAACAAATACACGCATCAACACACACATTCCAGGAAAGAGTACTTAATCTCCACATTGCCTACCATTAGTCATTTCTGCTTTTACTTTTGGATGCCTTGTTATGTCAAATAGCTTCCTTTTTTATTACACCATTTGAGTTCATTTATTTTCTGTCAGATGTAGCCAATAGTGTCCTAATAGAGACCAATAGGAATAAAGTGGCTGATTTATAGGATCCTGGTGAGATTGATCATTATATACGTAAAGCACTGAGTGAAAAGGCTAAAACACTTTATACTCAGTGCCCACACATTCCAAAAACTTCCATCCTTCCTTTATACATTTGGAAGGATTAGTGGCAGAAAGACTACGCAATGAGAAAAGGCAGGGCCCTAGCACAGGTGCACCATATATTATTCTCATGACCTTCTCCACCCCCTCAGTTGTTAAATTATTTACAGAATCCAGTATTACTGACTGCAAAATATGATTGTGAGAAATAAGCAAGAAAAAGCAAGTGAAAAGGTCTTCCAGATTGTTGGTGCTTGATAAACATCAGTAAACTTACTTCTTCAAGGCCACTCCTACATAGATGGGGCACAGAAGCAGGATAAAAATACGACAGGCTCAAGGATGTACTGTACAACACTAGGAATATAACCAGTGTTGTGTAATAACTGCAAATGGAAAACAACCATTAAAGATAGTATAAAGATTAAAAAAAGATTTTTAAAGAAGAATCAAAATTGCATATATATATAAAAAACACTAAACATACACAGAAATGAAAAAAAAATAAAAAGCAAATGTGGGATAAAAATTCTGCAGAGCTACCAACTAGAGGCTTATACAGATGATTACAATTCCTGGTAATTCATTCAAGTCTCTGATGCATTTCTATGCAGAGCACATAAGGTTTATTAATATTAAAGCACGTTCAATTATTTTATCACTTTACAGCTTTGCCCTCCTATCTGCTCTTTGCCATGAAAGAAACAGCCTCAAGGTCTTGCATTTTTTTCATAAATAAAAATCATTTATTTAATGAAAAACTTTAATGACAATAAAAATTTTGTGCACTTTGCTAATACACTTTGTATGCTTTAACTCATTTGATTCCTTACAATTTCAATTGTGACATGGGTCATATTAAGCTTATTAATATAACCAGATAATATTTTACATATTAACCTTATTTTACAATTCCTGAGAACTTACTTTCCAAGGATTACATAGCTGGAAGTATCAAAGAAACAGAAAGGAATTCAGATCTAACTCCAAAGTCTATATATTTTCAAACATTGATTATAGTATAATAGAAAGCATTTCAAAATTCAAAAAACCAATGTTTTTATAGTTCCCCATCTCTCAGAAATAACTCATTGTTATTCCTAAGACATGCCATACATCAAACTATAAAATATATCTCCCATAAGCCTGCCATTTTACAAACTTTCCAGCATTTTCCCCTTTATCCTGATTGCATGTACATTTTAAATTGAAACACCCTCCACACATTTTTCAATATGCCAACTGTATTGTGGTACACTGAACATTCCATCAAGCTGAGTTTTCCTACCTGATCATTATTTTTCATTGCTATTTTCCAGAATGTGTACTAGGGAAAATAAACAAATGAACCTAAGCGTGGTTAGCGTACACCTGTGCATCACATCCCACCACCACCAACTGGTGATAAAACTTTTGTGGAAACACTGACAATAGTGCTACATGACTTGAACAGAACAAAAAGTACCATGTTTAATAAGATTTAGACAAAAAAGGTCTTCCCATAATTGAAATTCTACTTATTGATTTGGATATAGACTCTCTTCTATCTTCTTGTCTTTTGGAATTAAAGAAAAAAGTTGCCTAGACTGCACTGATGAATGCTCAATTTTTTTTGAAAATAATATACCATAAATAATATTTTTTTTCAAATTCAAAGGACTGTATTAGAAATTAGAGCCTTAAGTACGAATTAAAACCACACAGGCACTCAAGTATTTTACAGATGTTCCCAAGCAACTTTTTACAGTATATAGATAAGAACAAAAGTACAAATTGTTTAGACTGTATGTAACCAAAGAATACTCTTTTAAACATCACTTACAAGTAGTTACTGCCCTTCTAATGAACAGAAATCATTCCATAATGTTCCTTCCACTGAAAACATATTATTTCTATTTTAAATGTATAATTTATACTCTATATGTCTTCAAATAATAATATAAATGCTTTAAAGCATTAAATTTTCTTGGGATAAGAGACAAGAGTTTCAACTTTCTAGATGTAAAAACACAATTTTAACCTGGATTTAAGTTAGATATGTGAATACCTAGATGGAAAGCAGTTGCCTTTGTTAGCCGTGGACGGTTCCACCTGAAGACACCTGGTGGTAGCTTGTAACAACAGGGGCCGAAAACAGGCAATCTCTTAACAACAAGGGAGGCAAGGGAAGAGTCACGACGGGTAATGAAAGGAGAAGTCAAGTTGGCAGAGCAAATGCTACAGCAGAGATGAGAAGTTTCTATTTGATCCAGAAAGCAACAGACACAGAGACACAGGCACACACACGGTGCAGAGACAGAGACGGGAAGGCAGAAACAGAGCAATGGCTCTGGGCAGCACCTTCAGGAGTCGTCTGGGAATGGATCGGTTACCATATAAAACATACCTAGTAATTAAAAACATGAACTCCCAGGGTACCAGCGGGAAGGGAATTGGAATCTCCCAGGTACGCGGACACAGTGTTTCAGCGGGAGCAGGTAGAACAGTATCTGGCTTTATGACCCAGAACAACATTTCCTGAATGATTTGTTCACAGAAACTGAAAACTGTGGAGAAGTGCCCAATCCATTTACTTCCGAGCCTTTCCGTTTCCATCAAAGTGTTGTTTTGCTATTGTTGTTCACACCATATGTTATCTGTAATTAGACTGTAAACCTGAATTTGATTTGAAAGAAAAGGCTGAGAAGTACAAAGTATCTGCTGATTCAAAATATAACCTTCAGCTATTTTTGGTACAAGGTAGCCTTAATAATCCAAAAACAAGAACAATTTGAAAAAAAATTCTGCCAGTGTTTGAAAGCCAAAGGTATTTAAGCTCATACAATAAACTAACCAAAATCTATAAAGTTCCAAAACTAATTCATAAAAAAAAATTCTCATCTTCAGCAAAACCCATCAATAGTCAATAATGTTTAATTTAAGGGCATAAAAATTTTGAACTCTGAAAGTTAAAGCTGGCAAACCACTTCCAAGGAAGAAAGTTGGTTTTTTAACTGTTATTAAGTGACTATTCCAAATAAGTGATTAAAGCTGAGAATTGTTATTATCCAAGTAAAGCAGAAAAAGCAAAATCCATTCAACTAGTCTAAACATCCAAAGTCACAATTTACTGAGCTTCCGTGTTTCTCTCCGTTTCTTCTTGCCTCTCTAGTTCTCCTTTTCCCCTAGTCCTTCCTCCTATAGTTCTACCTCTTTGTCTCTGTCCATCCTCATTTTCACAACACTCCATTTCATGTCCTCTCATTTTTATCTCTATATTCCTTCTCCTTCTGAAATTCTGAGTCATGCAGGGTACTAGTGTTAAGAATAAAGATTTCTAGTGATTTTGAACAGGTAAAATAGAATATGCCCCAGGCAAAAATTCACATTTGCATTCTAGCGTTAGAAGTAGAGCTATTAAAATGCAAAAAAAAAAAAAAATGAGTTAAACAATGAATTTTAAATAGTAACTACTGAAATGCCTGTGGTAAAGATCAAGACCAAAATTGCTAATATAGCTGTGCCCTTGAAACCGAGCAGGACCCTAAGAGGCCTTGCTGGTGACGAATCTTTGAGTCCCTTTGCAGAAACCAAGACCCTAGTCCAGGTGGAGGTTGCTGACTACATGTTAACCACAAGCAGATAAGACTCCAGACTGCTTGAAACCAGAAACATCATCCTGTTACCTTATCCCCAACTGACAAATTTATGATTACCAAAGAGTATAGCAGTGGGGGGAGGAGTAAATTAGGAGTTTGGGATTAACAGGTACACATTATTACACATAAAATAGGTAAACAACAAAGACCTACTGTATAGCACAGGAAACTATATTCAGTATCTTACGATAACCTATAATGGGAAAAAATCTGGAAAAGATTTTATATATATACATATATATGTATCATATGTATACATATCATATATATGTATGTATAACTGAATCATTTTGCTCTACACCTGAAATTAACACACTGTAAATTAACCATAATTCAATTTTAAAAATTATAACTTTGTAGAAAGAAAGTCTAGGACCTGCAACCCTTGTCCCAAATCTTTCCATTAAAAACCCTTCCCTGAAACCCGCAGGGGAGTTCAGGTCTTCTGAGCAGTGTGTCCTTCCCCTGGCTTGGTGCCCTTCAACAAACGCTGTGCTTTCCTTCCCCACAACTCCCTGTCATGCTCTGCCACATAGCCGACGAGCAGACCCAAGTTCAATCAGTAACACCCTTAGCCTTCTGGGTCTCAGTCACCAGAAATTACTACCTCTTTAAAATCCTTAAAAAACATGTTTTTGTTTGTTTGTTTTTTACTTCTGCTGACCTCAAACAAGTTGCAAAATGATGATACTCCACATATAAATTAGGCCTCTGACTTCTATTTCATAAAAAATCTTGTGCGCTTAGAAAGTCAATGAATGTATTAAAGATATTTTGATCTAAGTCTAATTCATACTTTTAAAGGACATTTATCCTGCAGTTATTTTTTGTTTCCATAGGATAATACTTATGCCAAGGACAGACAAATTCTTTAGGATATAGTCGCATTAAAGCTATTGATAAATTGGAAGATGGGATAGACATATACACACTACTGTATATAAAATAGGTAACTAATAAGAAGCCCCTGTATATAGCACAGGGAACTCTGTGCAATACTCTATCATGGCCTACAGGGGAAAAGAACGTAAAAAAGAGTGGACATAGGTATACAGCAGAAACAAATTACAACATTGCAAAAAATTACATTTCACTTATAAAAACTACACCTTTCCAAACTCATGTAAGTCAACTACACTTACATAAGAAAAATAAAAATTAACAAAACAAGCAAACAAAAAATATGCCTTCTCAACAAATCACATTTCCCTTAAAAGCCACTCCTTCCAACTCCCATCTCATTAAGTAAGGCATTTTCCCAGCATTTAGTTCACCACAAAAAAAGAACGTTCGTGCTAATAAGGGACAAGAAGCATGTTTCTTGGGGTGATGTGATGAGTCACTGTGCGGATGTAAGCTGGGTGTGAATGAGGTCATGGTTGTGAACTAATCAGAACGGCTGCAGAGAAAGAAAGCAGCAGTGGGCCACAAGCACTCTGGACAGGAAGGGTTAACGGCTGACCCACCAGCCAGCTCAGCCTCATTCTGCTGGAGCCAAGATCTCATTGGCTTTGCCAGGCTGGCTGAGCCCCAGATAAAAACCAGAGGCTGGCAGAGGCACCAATGCAGGAAGTCAGTTCTGGGGAACAGTAGAAAACGTACTTAGCTCTTATTTCAATTTGAATTAAGCCTTCAGATGGTTTGCATCTCTATGATACTCATTATTTGCTAATTTTGTAAATTCTGTTTGCTTTCCTATGAACTAACCATGAAAACTCACGTAAAATAGAAATCATCTTGTGTTGTTTATTTTTAAAAAAAAAACTGCCTTGTGAAAGAGGGATTTGAAATTATAAACAGTTTACCAGTCTTCTGGAGGGGAAAGGAGTCCAAGACAAAGAAAATGCTTGAATAGGTGTAAATGGAGAGAGAAATGCAAGCAGTTCACAGCCTTGGCGGAAGGAAGGAAACAAGGCCCCAAGCTGTGGATCTGGGATCTGGAAAGAAAAAGATCTTATCAACTGTCTGAAGAGACCTGGCCTGGGGGAGAAACAAGAATGTACAGCTACAGATTGAGATTCCTGGGGTTAATTCACAGCAGGTTGAGGGTCAGAATGGAGAGCAGGAAATACAACAGTGAACTTTCATTTATTTCAAGAAATGGAAGGGAAGGAGGAAAGACAAGGGGGTCCCAGGAAGCAAACTATTGCAGGGGGGTGGGGTGAGGCCCCAGGAAGATTCAAAAGGATCAGTGTACACGTCTGGTCTGGGAGTTCAATTTCCATGAAGCCCAGCCAGCTGAACCTAAGGTAAGGGGAGGGATGGGAAGCCTGCAGGCAGAGCCATCCCCTAATCTAAGGCTCTGAAAGGAGGGTGGAAGCCAGGGATGCTCTCTGATCATTAGCAGTTCCTATAAAACAATGGCCATCCCCAGCCAATTGGGGCCTGTCAGGAATTGGGCCACAGCGGAGGTGTGAGGGTGAGAAACTTCACCTATGTATATAGCTGCTCACCATCACTTGCATTACTGCCTGTGGTCAGCCTTCTGTCAGATCAACAGAGGCATTAGATTCTCCTAGTAGCGTGAACCCCTACTGTGAACCACACGCGCACGTGAGGGGTCTAGGTGGTGCATTGCTTATGAGACTCTAATGCCTGATGATCTGAGGGGGTGATGCTAGTGGTAGGCAATGGCTGCAAAAACAGATCATTAGCACATGATCTGTATGTGCTTGAATCATCCCCAAAACAGCCCACATCCCCAGTCCTTGGAAAAGCTGTCTTCCAGGAAACCAGTCCCTGGTGCCAAAAAGGATGGGGACCGCCGGCCTACAGGAAGATCCGGACAGATGCGCCTTCCGGGGTAGGGTGTAACTGCAGCACTCCTCCCAGGCCAGCCCTTCAGACTCCTTGTGCAGCAAGAAAGAAGACTCTGCCTTGAAGGAGAAACATCGTAACAGTGGTGTACACGTGGGAAACAAAAGCTGGTTCTCCTTTAAACAAAAGCAAAAGCACATCCACCACCAGGAGAAGAGCCAGATAAACCCAAATAACAGATGGTGCTAATCGCTAGAATGCTACACTCAATACAAATGGGAGTAACAAGAGCAGAGACTTTTAAAAGGTGCTACAGACAGAACAGGTTGGACACGGTGAGCCAGGGGGCAAAAAAAATGGAAACCACAAAGAGAATCGGGGAGGAAAGGGGCTTGCAGGGGATGAGGGTTCTCTGATTCTTCTGGTAAGAGTGTAGGTTAAAGGTTATATTTGAAACACTTTTGAAAAAACACAACCTACATCTTTGATTCTGCCCTCTCAGCATCCACCGGCCCCTGTCAGCTCAGGATGATGGCGAAGTTGACAGCTTGAGTCCTGGAGCCAGACAAGCTCTGTGCACATTTGCTGCAGGACATCAGGTAAGTGACTCCACCACCAGTGGTCCTGAGTTCTTTGCTTAGAAAATATAGATAATAAGAATATCTGTTTTATATGGTTTTTTGTGAGGATTGCAGCAGCAATCTTCCAAAGCATTAAGCACAGAGTCCATCACTCAGGAAGTATTCAGTAAGTGTTAATATGTGTCAGTTATTTTTTACTATGGTTTTTATTATTATTAAGGTAAGATTTGAGATAACGGCATAAACAAGCATTAAAATAAGGGGCAGGAAGAACTTAGTGGTTTTTAGCTTCTTAGGAAACAAAGAGCATGATAGTCTTCACTGAAAGGAAAACCCATTTACCAGAAGTATTAATAGTTAAGAAAAATCGTAGGTCACTTAAGTTAGGTCACTTCTATAAACAGAAACTTCCGTTTGCCTATGTAGTCTGACATAAACAATATATCCCAGTTTAGTTAACATAACCTATTTAATATAGGAGCTGTGTCCCTGATGAAAATGATATACCCCCTCCAAAATATCACACTATTTTGAGAAAATAGATGCTTTCTCCTTTTGGCACAGCCAACCAAGTCCATAGGCTCTGTACTCTCAGTCGAAATGCTGAGGCTCATTTTAAACACTGAGTTTCTGAAGCTTGAGAAGGCTAATAAAAAGCCTCCTGATTCTACCAACAAATTCATTAGTGAGAAAGCATGCACTTAGTATTCAAGAAACCTGATTGTTATGTAAAATTATTTTCTTAAATCTGATGCATATTTGCATGGGATAAAAGTAACATGTCATGTAATTATTATAATTTTTGCAAAGTTAGATTAATTTAAAACAGTGTGATAGGGCTTCACACACATTTTACCTCTTATAAAAGGCATTAGAATACAATTAGTATGCAGTACTTCCACCTCAACTGGAAAAGAAAGGAATCAGTGTGACCAATGGGAATGCAAGTCCCTATTAACAGGCAGACACAGCAGAGGGGCTAATGTGTTGGCATCTCATTTTGGGTTTAATTATTGGAATAACATCTCATTTGCTTCAAGGTATTACAATTATCTCCTGTTTTAAATTGAAAAGTATATCAGAATGAATGCGATTAATGAACCAAAGGGTTCAAAATGTTCAGAGCAGTGAGCTTTAAAGCAGAACCACCTACATTTTAAACAAATCCCCACTCAAGGAGTGCCTGAGAAATGCATTTCCTTTCATTCCAGCCCCAGTGAATGTGCCCCCGAGTGAGGCAGTACAGTTTTTTTTTATTTCACTGCTATTAAGTAAAAAAATTAGGTACAGATTGATAATAGGCACTGATATAAGCCAAGATCTTAAAAAAAAAAAAAAGCTCACTTTCAGAAGTTAACACACCAGTTATGAAACATTTGCTTAATTTTTTGTAAGATAAAACTATTTTAAAAATGAGAACAAGTGAAGCTTCAAATCTGACATATATCAAGAGTCAGCCATTATCTTTTTCTTAGTTACTCTTGAAATAATTCAAAATATTTTTTCAGATATTCAGCACAGGTGTCAGTGGTTAAGATCTTTTAAAAGGCAGAACTCTTTCATCAGAAGTACCTTTAGTTTTTGTATTTTAAAAACTTACTGGGAGATGTCCCAAACTTCTGCTAATTTTATGGACTGTATGTGTCCATGAACTGAGCCCTTTAGAAATGTTGGTGGAGAATGTCTTTCCTTTGCACACCTGTTTGGTGTGCAAACAGGCCAGTGCTCTTGAGGCAGGCTGGGTCCGGGGACTGGGGATACTTTGCTACAGTGCTTGTACCTGGACAAGTGTCTCCTCAGTCAACAGAATACAAAGAAACTAAAAGGGACTAAAAATAACTGCACTTGTGCAGTGGGGGCAAATTATGGGCAACAAGATACAAAATAGTCCAAAAAAAATCCAACTGTCACTTCTGAAAAGCTGGGACAGAATCAGGGTATTGGGAGCAAAAGCAAGGTACTATGCATTTGGCCCTGCACTCAACACCACGGACCCCTGGAAACACTCCCACCCTCACCCCTGTAAGGAACCCACTCACTTCACCCTGGGGAGACAGCAAGGGAACCTGCTACTCATTTTTACTGTCTCTGCTGGGTGGCTCAGATGGTAAAGAATCTGCCTGCAATGCAGGAGGCCTGGGTGCAATCCCTGGGTTCGGAGGATACCCTGGAAGAGGGAAAGGCTACCCACTCTAGTATTCTTGCCTGGAGAATTCCATGGACCGAGGAGCCTGGTGGGCTACAGTCCATGGGATAGCAAAGAGTCAGACATGACTGAGTGACTTTCACTCACTGCTGCAGCGGGGGTCCCAATAAAAGCTTGCCTGAATTTCTTGTCTGGCCTCTTAGCAACTTCTACTGACTGAGGAAAACCAAGAATCCGGTGTTTTCACTCTGACCAGGGTGCAAGTTGGGGCTGGGGCTGGGGGTCAGAATAATTTCTTACAGATCGTAACATTGCTAGAATTCCTCCTAAAAGTAACTCACCCAACTTTATTCTCCCATTTATTAGTTAATACAAATAATGACTTGATAAATTTATTCTGAATAACAACAAAGGTTATTTCTTAATAATTTATCATTTCTTCATCTCATACTTACATGAAATTATATCCTAATCTTTAGCCTATTTTATTGGATTATATTAATTGAACATGTAAGCTAGAAACAACTGATACAAGGGTAAAGATAAACTCATTTTCAGAGTATAGTTTTTCATATAAATTATATATACCTGAAAATCATCTCTTCTAAACATACACACACATATACATGCATCCACATACATGCATGCATACATACACAAATGATTTTATGTCATGTTAACAGAAAAATATTTAACCAAAGGAGTTTCTTAAGGCATTTGGATATACAATACAGATGCAATGCTAGGAAGGAAAATATCTACAGAGCACAATTAATCTAAAAAGATGTAATTTAAACTCTATTTCAGCTTTGATTCAAGGCTAATATCAATATAATCCATCAGATGATCAGTTCAAATAGGCTATACAGAAATAAAGAGAGACCTGTTTGTCATTGGTATAGTCATTATCAGCAAACTCCTTTATTCAAAACAAGCTTAATTTAACTGAATTACTTATAGCTGGATATAGAACAACATGTATGCATTAAAATTATTACATATCTGTGGAATAATAATAATATCAAATAAATCTTTATTACATCCCAGGACTCGTTCTCAGAATTTGTACATCTCATCTTATTCCATGACAAACGATATTACCCACATTTATAGGTGTGGAAATGAGCACACAGAGATGTTAAGTAACTTGCTGAGGATCACAGAGGTAATCAGTGGCAGATCCAGGATGTGAACACCCCCAGCCTGGTTCAGAGCTATCCAGTAACCCCAGCCACACAAACACACAGACAGACAGCCGTTCTGTGCACACACAGCCCCTGCCTTGTTCACAATCAGCTTCTCTTTCTCATGGGCTAGGTAAAGCAAAAGTTTAAATTCACCAAATTGTTTTTCTGCATTAATCACACTGCCATATCTTTAACTTCAGCCCATTCTTGATATTTTTGAGGTATGTGGTAACTCTCAAATCAGAGGAAAGTTCAAAGTATAGAAACTCATAGATTCAAATTATGCCTATGCTCAGAACACCAAGAACAAGGAAATTATAGGGACTTATGCTAAGTGACAGTTGGACTATAAAGAAAGCTGAGTGCAGAAGAATTGATGCTTCTGAACTGTGGTGTTGGAGAAGACTCTTGAGAGTCCCTTGGACTGCAAGGAGATCTAACCAGTCCATCCTGAAGGGAATCAGTCCTGAGTGTTCATTGGAAGGACTGATGTTGAAGCTGAAACTCCAATACTCTGGCCACCTGACGTGAAGAGCTGACTCATTGGAAAAGACGCTGATGCTGGGAAAGATTGAGGGCAGGAGGAGAAGGGGACGATGGTTGGATGGCATCACCAACTCAATGTACCTGAGTTAGGGTAAACTCCTGGAGCTGGTGATGGACACGGAGGCCTGGTGTGCTGCAGTCCATGGGGTGGCAAAGAGTTGGACATAACTGAGCGACTGAACTGAACTGATGCTAAGTGTCATATATTTTCTTTCTTTCAACCTTGCAATTACAAATTAGGTTTTACTCTTCATATTTTGGACTTCGGTGTCCATCTCTGTGTTGTCCATTGTAGCAAAAATTCTGCAAAGTCACACTATACAGAGAATTTCCCATCCTCAGTATCTGATCACCTTGATATCTGACCAAGTTCCTCATCCCTATGTCCCCCAGGTGATATCCGATCACTCCAGCCCACCTTCAGCAAAAATCTTGTTGGGTCAGTTGAGCCAAACATTCCCCTTCCTCCACTTAGTAATTTTCCATCGCCTGACTCCACCCTGGGCAATAAATCCCCACTGTCCATGCTGTATTCAGCGTTAAATCCAGCTTTGTTTCGAGGACCCTCTTCCTCTATTTCAACAGTTCCTGAATAAAACCTGGTTTTGCTGTCATGACTACTGTCCAGTCTTTTCTCTTTAACATTAGTCTCTGAGTGAGCACTTCCTATCTCAGGTTGGTCAACTCAATGCTTTCCACCTCTAAATGGCCCCTCCGTTAAACTTCCTTCAATGAAAACTTCACATATGCATCTGCTTCCTGAAAGACTCAGAGAAACCTAGAATCATATACCTAGACAGACTCCACCATGGTTCTTCAAATAAACATACATATTATGGAAAAAGAAAGGGGAGGACCCTGATATTAGTTTTCTCTGTTTCAAGACCACTAAAATTCTGCTTGACATTGAAATGACCCTGGAGAAGAGGGAGGCTTCAGAGGGTAAGTCAACCCTCCGGAAAACCAGAGGGTATTCCAATTCACTGAGCACTTGTTGTGTTCAGAGGGCTGTAAACAGTACCCAATGAGCCATGCATAAAACAATACCTGCCCAAATCAGGCTTAGATTCTAGTGCAGAAAATACAGGAGTCAATATGGTAGTAAGCACCATAGGGTGCTATACTTGGGAGAAAAAAAATCATAGGTGAGCCATGGCTTCCTCAGGGACAAGGAGACAGACCAAGAAAAAGTGACTCTAAGCTGGTGCCACAGAACAAAGCAAGCATATTCCAAATAAAGGGAACCAGAGTCAAAGGTCCATGATCTGTTCCAGCCACAGCATTTCAAAAATGTAGCCCAGTAGCTATTTTTAAATGTGCTTGTGATCTCAAAAATAATTTCCAGTATTTCTCTAAAGAAATCTATACTAGTAGACTGATAAATACATTTAAAAGATATTGTGTGTGATATAACTAATTTACTAAGATGTTACAGCTTTCAGTGACTGGTTTTTATTTTTTCATTTAAATTCAAGACACAAGTATACTTGTTATGGGATTTTGTTTTTAATGGAATTTAAAACTTTCACTTTTAGAAGGAGCCCTTGGCCACAAAGTGATGCTTCCACACAGCAAAATATTTTTACCGAATCAAAGCATAAATATACACAGTTGAGGACTCTCAATTAACTGAACATTCTGAGACTTTGGTTGTTTGCTTCTTTGTTATTTAAAGCAAACCTGTATGCTCTGCTTCTCTACTTGGAATGCCCTTGAAGTGAAAGAATTTGGTTCTCATGAATTTAGTCAAGATGCAAAAATGTCAGATCATTGTGAGATGGGTCTATAAACTGCGACCTCAATAGACTTATATAATCTAAAAATTATTGATGGAATTATTTTCTAAAAAGAGTGAAAAGCTTTAAAGTAGGTGAATTCAAATTTGGTTCTGTTAAAAATAGCTGCTTCCTAGAGCATGCTGTTCTCATCTTAACTTTTAATGAACTCTTGAAAGCTCACTTGAGAATGATAATCAGGTTAGCATTATTCTCTAAATGCCCCAAATTTAAAAACAGAGCAAAATTTTTACAACAACAAAGATATATGATACATGAGGTTAATAAGCCTTGATACTTGATATCATACTTACCTCAGTATTCCGGGGGTATCTTTCTTATATTTTATTTAAAAAAAAAAAATTGGGGACTACCTGTAAATTAAATGCAGACAAGTGGAGAACCACATGGAGAGTCCTCAAATAGTTAAACAGAACTACAATCTTCCCTCTAATTTTTAAACTCTCTGTAGTGTGTGCTCATCACCTTCATTTTTGTATCTTAATTTTTTCTGATTATAAAACGAACACATTGTAAAATGTACCACATGCATATTGTAAAATATTTCAATAATTCAATCAACTATCAAACATTTCATTTAGAAAACTGAGGACCGATATTTTAAAACTTAAAAACAAAATAAAACTACCTTACAATCCAGCAATACCATTTCTAGGTATATAATCAAATGGGATGAAAACAGGTCACTGAAAAGATATTTGTACTTCCATGTTCACTGCAGCATCATTCACAACAGTCAAATATGGGGACAACCCAAGTGTCCACCAACAGATGAATGGATGAAAAGGTCCTCAGTTACAGCCATGATTGCTCTGAGAAATTACGTGAAATGAATGATAATGTTAATTTCTTACATTCCAATTATGAATCTGGCCTTTATGAATATACGATGATGCTCTCAAAATTTCAAAGTTACAGTTATTTGAAGTCCTACAAAATAGTGGTAGTGTATAAAAAAGACTGTTAAATTGTATTTAAGCATGCTTTTCTTATTAACTTTTAGCTAATTAGGGGCTAATTGGTGGCTCAGACAGTACAGAATTCTCCTGCAATGCAGGAGACCTGGGTTCAGTCCCTGGGTCAGGAAGACTCCCTGGAGGAGGGAATGGCTACCCACTCCAGTATTCTTGCCTGGAGAGTCCCATGGACAGAGGAGCCTGGTGGGCTACAGTCCATGGGGTTGCAAAGAGTTGGACATGACTAAGTGACTAACACTTTCACTTTTCTTCCAGGAGAACAAAATATTGATTATGAACCATAAGTTATTGATTCTGAGTGTCAAAATTGAACTTGTTTTGAAATCTACAAAATTTGACTTTTTTCCAGAATTTTATCATGAACTTTTCAAACACATAGCAAATCTGAAAGATTTTTCCACTAAACAGCTGCAGCTGTACCTTAACTCTACCATTACTATACTTGTTTTATTAATATCAAGCCCTATCAATCTTTCCCAACAACTATCAAACCATATCATTTTTATGCCTTTTAAAATAAACTGAAAATATCAAATTATAAATATCATGGTTTATTGTATGTGTGTATGTATGCTCAGTTGTGTCTGACTCTTTGTGATCCTGTGGACTAGCCCATCAGGCTCCTCTGTCCATGGGATTTTCCAGGCAAGAATACCGGAGTAGGTTGCCATTTCCTTCTCCAAGGGATCTTCTCTACCCAGGGATTATAGCTGCATCTCCTGCATTGGCAGGTGGGTTCTTTACCACTGAAACACCTAGGAATCCCCAATAATGATTTTTTACATTTATTCAATTCTTTGAATTATTTTTAAAATCCTTGTGTTATTAGAAGGCATTTTCAATATATTGCTACAAGTTCAACTTTTACATATTTTTTAAAAAATCACTCATCTACTGTAAGTTCTCTGTGAAATAATGGTCAAAGGACACAAATGGTATGCCAGTTCTAACTACACATAAATGTACCCAGAATTCTTACATATTTTATATTTAGGCCAAGTGCATCAGACAATTTCCAAAACAGAAACACTGTGAGGAAAATAGAAACCACTCTGAGTGGTTCCAAAAGATGAAAATATTAACATGAGGAATTTATGATATTAATACTTCTACCTTGGCTGATTAGCAAGAGTCTCAGCTTCATACACATTAATGGGTCAGAAATATTGAGAGACTCTCAACACTGAACTTTAAGGAAGCTCCTCAGTGTTCCATTTTGGCCCTCAGATCTAGCCCATGCCGAGCTATGCTGGGCTGCAGGGGGTGGTGGGCAGAAGGACTGAGTATCCCCACAACAGGCTGCTTCTCAACAAGCAAGTCCTTAAGAAGTTTAAAAATAACTGGATGAACTGAGTAAATGTACTCAAAGACTTATACATAAAGTACACTGTGCAGACTGAAAGATAACTTGCAGCTGCTTACAAACCAGAATCTATCATCCCCAGCCTCTTCTGTTTCTCCCAGTTTGGAACAAAATTAACGCAGACTAACAACCTCAAGTGTGTAGGAACACCACCTGTATCTTTAAAGAGTGACTAGGACAAGGGATGAACATGGAACAGGTGGATTTTCCTGGTGTCATGTGTCTCTGGCATTTGAATGGGAAACTTATGATTTCCTTTTTTTTTTTTTTGAGGCAGAACAATACTGAACAGCCAATTGAAGTGGCTTTTACAGCACAGGAAAAAATGAGTTGCCAATCAAGAACTCTGAACCAAGATGTGGTTAAAAGAGAGGGAAAAGTGAAAGTTGCTCAGTCGTGTCAGACACTTGGCAACACCATGGACTGTACTGGAATTCCAGTCCATGGAAGTCTCCAGGCCAGAATACTGGAGTGGGCAGCCTTTCACTTCTCCAGGGGATCTTCCCAACTCAGGGATCAAACCCAGGGCTGCCACATTACAGGCGGATTCTTTGCCAGCGGAGCCACAAGGGAAGCCCCTCCAAAGCCATAATTGACACAAATAGATACATCAGTCTAAAATGAGCCTGAAGTGTCTGCAGGCTTTATTCAAAGAATAAGTTTCCCCAGCTGTATTAAATAGGGAAGCGCTTGTGTCCATTCATATTATGGAACTCAATTCTTCAGTATTTGTGGTCCAAAATACATAGTGTGTAAGGAAATGATTTCATTATATGTAAATCTTTTCTTTTAAAACAATATTGTTAATATTCATTTGTTTTTCTGGAGGCAAAAAACTACAGAATGGTTAGAGACTTCTATGTTGAACTGCACTAGACAGGCATAAAAGTTACTTGGGAAGCTTAGCACAAATTACATATGTGCGCGGATCCACTCCTACGCCTGTGTCCGTCTTGCCACAAAGGCTGATCACACAACCGTATCCTCCACGGACCTTGCCCTAATCCACAGATTGGAATGAACACCGATGCTCTCTCTCCAGTATACTTTTATGCCATTTTTAATAACCACATTCTCTCTATATTACCAGTTTAATGCCCCTGTGCCCATCACTAACTCAGAAAGGTACAGTGTTGCTTTATGTTTATCATGCGGTATGATGTTCAATGATATCATTGAAATAAACAAGAAGATTGAAAAAACAAATAAAATAACAAATGATCTAAGATGATTAAACAAAACAGAATGATTAATAAGACAATCTTATCTATGAATCAGAGTTTTCTATTTCTTGTGAAGAATTCAATTCACCATGGTATAAATTAACTTTTTTACAATCTGGTCTTTACTCATTAATAGCGATTCTTTGTATTATAATCTACCACATTCTTAAAGGATTAATGTCCCATTTCAACTTTGTATACAACTTGCTTTTTCTGGAATACGTTTCTAGTATTTCTCACATCCAGTCACATAAAAGCTTTCAGTTCAAAACTGTTCTAAATTGGAAGGCAATTCAGTAAAATTAAAATATAATTAGTATTCCATTGGTTAGTTATAAACACAACACAATTATAATTATGTCATCATCATAATATTATACTATAATTTAACTGTAATAGCTATAACAACTTGCACTTAGTAATCCATATATATGTATATGTGTGTGTGTGTGAATCTACATACCCATTTGACCTTTACAATAACCTTAAACAGCAGGTATTATCCCAATTTTACAGATGAAGAAACTCAAGTATATTTTACAAACAACATGAACAATATTATCTAAATATTAATTGGTAAAGCC